ATCATATCAACTGCGCGATTCTCACTTCTAAAGTCGCTGTAACCGTGTTTTCTCCCAACTATTGTGATTCTTATTTCTGTTTGCACGAGCTTGCTCTTATAATGGAGTCCAAGAAAAGGGTCATACCGATATTTTGCGATATCAAACCTTCACAGCTCGATGTCATGATCGAAAGGGTGACATGTTCTGATGATGAAATCCAACGGTTTAGATGGGCTCTTCAAGAAGCTAAAGATATCGTCGGACTTACGTTCGATTCCTATAAAGGGTAATTTTGATGTTTGAGTTTCCAATATATATAAATAAATGTGTATTAAAATTTATGATTCAACTCACAATTTCTTCTTCTTTTTTGGCGCATCTTAGGAATCTATCGGAGGTTGTTACAGTTGCATCGGATGTTATCGTTGAGAGATTGGTGGAGTTAGAGGCTGAAGATGAAAATATTGAGGCGTTAGAAGAACTTTAATTTACTCCAAATTAAATGCTTCTCTTAATATATTTATATATTTTTAGATTAATTAATTTCATCCATGCATATATATCCCAACTTATCAATAGTTGACAGAAGAGGCAACAACTTTTTTTTTTTTGAGGAATTATAATTTCCTTTATTCTTTGTAGTTATTTGTGTTTATGATCAGTGTGTGGCAAGTAATTGATTTGTAAGTTCAACAAAATAAATACTTCTTTTTGGGTGCAACTTTTGGTTTTCATTAAACCTTAAACCAATTCTGAACCAAATTGGGACAAAGCCTTTTTGGCTTCTCTTGAAACATAAACAGATAAAAATGCAAAGAAAAAAAAAGAGATAGATTAAAAATATTGTGTTGAATCCCATAGAACTCATTTATGTGAGATTCCTTAGTGATTGTTTTGATTAGCTGTTGCAAATTTGAAGCGACTGTAAATTTCCTGCAATTGTAAATTAAATATTATTTTTTCTTTCTAAAACCGAAAATTGTTTGATCTTCTTTTTCAACATCATCATATTTCCATGAAATTTCACCTACATTGACAAAATTTTAGATATGTGTGAACCGAAATTCTTATATTAAAATATAAATTTTAAATTATACGATAATAACTCTTATTCAATTTTTTATACTATATTTTTTATTTTATAGTTTATTTGTTCTAATTTACTTATCTTTGATTCCCTTTATTTTTTCATATTTTAAAATAAAGTTTATATTATCATGATCTAAATTTATAACTAAAGTAGTAAAAGATCAGCATCACTAAATATATAGAAATAGTAAAAGTATAGGTACAAATAAATTATAATAAAAATAAAACATCATTAATAGTAACAAATACATTTCATACTATTTACGTAAGAAATTAATAAAATGCAATATCTGAATAATAAACTATCACAATTAATTTATAGGATAAGAATATTGAAAACTGATTAAACACAAAAACTTTTAGAAGTTATAGATTTATAGTCATAGTTGTAAACACAAACGCGGAACAGAAACTCATTTTGGGCCTAAGATTGTTTTCGGCTGAAAAGCCCATTAAATTTCCAATTGATTTGAAACAAACTGAGCAGTTCCAAACCGGAATTAGATATTTATTAAGTAGACACATTTAAAGCATGATTAATGGACAGCTTTTGAAGAGTTCTAAAGAAGAAAAAAAAAAGAAAAAAAGAATAAAAAAATGAGCTGGCAAGACTGAAGAAGGGGATGACTCTCTGCACACAGCTTGTGGGAACGACTCTTCTGGGATGTGGCAACCTGTGATTGGCCAACTTTTTTTCTTTTTTTTTAATTTTTTTTAAAGAAAAACCAATGTTTTTTAATAATAAAAAAATTTAAAGATCCTCTCCTCTCAACTCTCTAATAATCATGCTCTTATATCTTTCACACTAATTAAAACACAGCATGAGAAAGTGATTGCCAGAATATCTCTCTACCTATAATAGAACCTCTATAAATTAATACTCGATAAATTAATAATCACTATAAATTAATAACTTTTGCCGGTTCCAAATTGAGCTAGTGTAAAAATTGACAAAATTCGATAAGATAATAAGATAATACTTTTTTTGAAAGTTCTATGTAAAAACATGGTCCCAATAATAATATAAATTAATAATTATATATTTAGACATATATTAATAATATAATATAGTAAACTATGATAATATTGTTGTTTCAAGTTTATAAAATTTGTTTGATTTATCTTCTAAATTTATTATTATAACATTTTTTGAATGAATTTTACATTGTTGAAAATATTGATTTTGTTTTTTTGATGAATATTAAAAATTCAAACTAAAAATATCTCTATAAATTAATAACTCTATAAATTAATAAAATTTGAGAATCCCAACAACATTATTAATTTATAGAGGTTTTACTGTATCTTTTTATTTTTATCTCTACGAGTCTTGTTTTCTTTATTTTAAAATAAATTCAGAAAGTTTTTATTTTAAAATAAAATTAAAAATCTTTAGGCTACATATATTCTATGCCAATCGCTATATATATATATATGAATGACAAACGTAGTCATCGAATCACGTGGACTCCTTGATATTAAAATCTTAGAATAAAAAGGGGGATTGGTAATTCAGTACTACTTATACCAAATACCAATACGATTAAGAATCGATTTCCTATGATTTTATAACAAATCTGTTATTGAGTAAGATGATCTTAAATTCCGAATACACACGCACGTGTATAGAAGTGTTTTGTTCAAAATCCAAAAAAAAAAAAAAAAAAATTATCATAACATAAATCTCTTATGATCACAAAACACTTGATTCGAATGATTATTTTTTAAGCATTTTAAATACAACGTCATCAGATTTGGATCCAATCAAAATGAATGAAAATCTAATTTTTTTTCCCTAAGAGTTCATTTTTCTCCAGTCTAAAATTAAATAATCCACATTCAAAAAACACAAAACAAACAAAAACAGAAAATAGCTATAATGTAACAAATAAAGCAAAACCAATCTTTGTCTAGCTCATTCGTTATCATTTGATAAAGATAAAATGATAAATCATTAATTGAAATGAGAGATAAGAAAATAAAGAAAAGTAGCATCAAATGTTTTTTTTTTTTTTTGAACATTTGCTTAGCATCAAAATGGTTGTCAGCACGAAAACAGTTGTTGGTAGAAAATATAATCCTTTAGGTTCCACTAGGAGGATTCAACAACGATAGTATCGTGATATATTGGGTTTATCAAGGTTAATATATATCTTCGTCTAATTTTGTGAAATAATAACCTCATATGAATTTCAAAATTAATTAGCTCTAATTGTCTAATGTGATGCTTAAACTTTGATCTAGAATATAATGATCCTTAAGGAGTATACTGTATATGTGTTTAGGTTATAAGTTTTGAAAATATAACTCGCAATGCATTTCTTAATCCAAAAAAACTCGCAGTGCATATATAGATGGATTTTTATAAAAAAATGACGAAAATTCATAACTAAATAATTTTTACAAAAATAACAAGAAACAAAAAATACTCATAAAGTTCAAAAAACAAAAAAAAACAAAAAAAAAACTCATACTGCATCTTTAAAACATTTGGCATACATTGCAGTAAAAAAAAAAAAAAAAACAACATTTGGCAAACATTGAATGACGAGAACTCAATAATGAAAAACCATATCAAAGCGTGATACAAAATTCAACTCGTACGCATAGCGCTTAATTATACTTTATTCGGCAATTTTAAATTAAGATATACCAAACGTGGTTCTCAGTAGAATGACATTAAGCAATTTAATGAACCCTCTTGTTATTACGACGATAACACTAAAGGAGATGTTATATTGTTGATAAAAAAGGGTTGACGTTCTTTTTAATTTTAATTTAAAAATATTTAGAGTATTGTCTGATTTTTGAAAGTATTTATCCAACATGTATTCTAAATCAAACATTTCTAACCAAGTGGTGGTGGTATCTACGTAATCAAACTGACTCAATTAGTCAACTATATACTGCTTATTTCGAAACAGCATATTCTGAGAATAATATCGATTTATATACCAAAACATCCAATTTCTGAAGGAAACAACCATTATATACGGATCTAAAATTTGAAACTATGTAATTAAGTAACTAAACTGAATTGTTAAGTGTTAACAACCATCATATTGAAAAAAAAAACATACTATCATTTAAAAAAAAAAAATCTTTAGTCAACATCAAACTCGTGTTATATTTTCGTCTATCGTTATAACGTCTTTTTGACAAATGACAAATATGGCGCCTAACTTATGCCAACGACACGTGGACACGTGTCGTCACGTTGAAGTTCTGTCCGAATGTAAAACGCTTTCCATGCTGTTACCTAAGATACATTGAACAGTTCTTTGTCCTCTCAACTTCACTTTTTCGTTCGTTTTTTCCTCGAGCTCTTTACCTCACCCTACCAATCTTTTACGCGTGTCCTCCCTTTTTCTTTCACTTTTAAATATTTGGCATATATACATTTCAAATGTAAGCGTCAACAAAAAAAACGTGAAATAAAAATATATCTCTTCTCTTTTACTAGTCGCTAAATATTGTGTTTATGTTATAGATATTCATATACACAATCAAAACCTAAACGTATAGATATTGGTCAAATCAGTGAACAAAAAAGTGTACAATTTTAAATCCGATGGAACAAAAATTAATAACCAAATAAATTACAATATTAACATAAAAAAAAAACAGTACGAGGAAGAGCCAAATCTGCGCATGTAGGTTCAATGAACTAGATGGGATTGCATAAATCACGACGTTATAACTGACACACGTGTCACGATTCAAAAGTACTTAGAGATAAACACAAAAGTGGGTCCCAGCTTCAGTACACACGTTAACTAGCTGCGGTGGAATCCATATATATATAAGTAGCATACGACCCAAACCTTATTGTTCAAATTAAAATATATAAGAAACACATGTTTGTTTGTTGCGATAGTTATCTCAGAGAAGAGAAGAACTCGAAAGAAAATTGTATCAGAGAGATAGAAATGGGTATCCAAGAAACCGACCCGTTAGCCCAACTGAGCTTACCACCGGGTTTCCGGTTTTACCCGACCGACGAAGAGCTTATGGTTCAATATCTCTGCAGAAAAGCAGCCGGTTACGATTTTTCTCTTCAACTTATAGCTGAAATCGATCTTTATAAATTCGATCCGTGGGTTTTACCAAGTAAGTAAACCCACTTCGATCCTTGAGCTTTACATGTTTAAAAGATGTTAGTTTTTCTCAGATATTCATAATTTATTTTGTTTTTGTAATTTATAAATAGATAAGGCGATATTTGGAGAAAAGGAATGGTATTTTTTTAGTCCAAGGGACAGAAAATATCCCAACGGGTCACGACCGAACCGGGTCGCTGGATCGGGTTATTGGAAGGCGACCGGTACAGATAAAATCATTTCGACGGAAGGAAAAAGAGTCGGTATAAAAAAAGCTTTGGTGTTTTACATCGGAAAAGCTCCTAAAGGCACTAAAACCAACTGGATCATGCACGAGTATCGTCTTATCGAACCCTCTCGTAGACACGGAAGCTCTAAGGTAACAATGAAAATGCAAATTAATTATGTTATGTTATGTTCCTTATTTTGATAATAACGTACACATATTAACGTTTTTTATTTTATATCAAATATTTTTAGTTTTAAAATTAACAAAGTTGTTTGAAATTTGCAGTTAGATGATTGGGTTCTATGTCGAATATACAAGAAGCAAACAAGCGCACAAAAACAAATTTACGAAAACGCAAGCACGAGTACTAGAGAACTCAGCAACAATGGTACTTCCTCGACGACTTCGTCTTCTTCTCACTTTGAAGACGTGCTTGATTCATCACATCATGAGGTCGACAACAGAAACTTTCAGCTTTCTAATCCAAACCGGTTTTCGTCCCTTAGACCGGATTTAACCGGAGAGAAAATCGGGTTCAACGGTTTAGCTGACACGCCGAGCTTCGATTGGGGTAGTTTTGCTAACAATGTTGAGCATAACTCGTGTCCAGAACTCGGACTGAGTCATGTTGTTCCTAGTCTTGACTTCAATTGTGGCTACCTGAAGACAGAGGAGGAATTTAACAACTCGGACGAGTTGGTTCAAAAGGGTTATGGTGTAGACTCGGTCGGGTTTGGGTATTCGGGGCAAGTCGGTGGTTTTGGGTTTATGTGATGTGTATACAATGCTAACGTAACAAGAGGAGAGGAAAATTAAAGTCTTTCAATTTTTGTCCTGTGGCAAATTGTATTTGGTTTCCGATTCTTTTGGGTTTATAGGTATAGACTTATAGATTTTAAGATATAGATTTGTAATCTGTCACACGCCTAGAAAAATTGACAGTCAGATATTTGTAACCTTTTTGTTTTTGTATCAGTAAAAATTTACATGAAAATGCATATGTGTTCGACTGTTCGTGCATGGTAGCTAAAAATTAAATTTAATTGTTTGAAGTTCGAACCATTTCGTAAATTTTTAATGAGCAGAAAATATGATAATATCAGTTGCAAACTAAAATAATTATAATATATGTGTATAAATATAATAGAAAAGGCATACACAAATTATCAACTATGTCTGTTTTTTTACCAAATAGTTAGTGGTCTAAAGATCACTACTATTTAACTCGACTTTATTTGGGAGAGAGAGTTGACGTTTTAAACATTATCAGTAATTAGCTGTAGATGCCACAAAAGATTATGAACCAGAGGTTTGAAATTTTCACTATTTACCAAAAGAAGACCAAGTTGTATTCGAAAAGTATATTAACACTCAACAAATCAAAGTGATTTATGTGATCTATATACAGTAATGTGTTAGCTGAAATTACACGTGTGGGTCAACGTGGACTTGCTTGTTTGACCAGAGTACATATAGAAACAGTTTACACCGTGCAAGTTTCAAACACATGTTTTATTGTGGTCCAGTGGATCAACTTTGCGCTTCTAAGGCGGTTGGACTGCCCGGAGATGGAGGATTCTGCTTCAGAAGTGAAGCATGTGAGCCAGCTTTAGCAACATCATTAGGGTCACTCTTTAGGACCTTCCATCTCTTCAAAAGATAGCCTCAAAGTTAATTAGAGAGCCTGGTTTATTTTTTTTTGCATGTGTGTGTGTTTTCAATAACATTAATTCCACATGTATATTTAAATGTAAATGAATATCACATATTTATTATACTTTTATCAGTGTATTGGTTTTTTTTTTTACTAATTTTTCTAATATAATTGGTCATCTAGAAACTATGTCCAAACTAATGTTTATAAATTATAATTTTATACTTATTAGCCATTGGTAGCTACACTTCAAAAGTTAAAAGTATATAATTGAAATGTCCCATATCGATAATTTGGTTGTGTTGTGGACAATATAAATAATATTTTAAGTTAGTTTTTGGGTATGTGTTTGATTCACTACTAACATAATATTAGAGTCTAAAGATTTCAACTATTTTTATTGTAGACTATATCCACAATTTTATATTTTAAATGTCCAATCTTAAGCGTGAAAGAGATGTATTAGAATATCCCATATGAATAATTTGATTATATTGTGGACAATATAAATAGTATGAGATACTTGATCTAGTTTTTGGGTATGAGTTAGGTCTATCAAATAGTATAGATAAAATCTTTCAATCATAAAATGAAATTAGTACAATAAACATACATTTAACGGAGACGACGGTTTTTGTTTGTTTGGTTTGTGATGATATTAGCACATGCGTGACCTCTGGATGTTCGAGAAGCTCACTTATCCGATACGTGATAAAGCTGGCGATTAAGGAGCGGTCCTTAACCACTTTCCTAAACAAGCTTAAAAACAAGGCAGGATTAGTAGTATAAGCAAAAAGTCCCCATCGACTAGAAGAATCCATCGTTTCTTTAATACGGCATTTATTAAAATAATTTTATTAATTCTGGACATTAAATACCCTCTCATACATACGCGTGACGTCATATTGTACGTGTAAACTATATTGTCGTTTTTAGATCTCGTTGGATTCGATGAGTAAACACTAACGAATGGCGATCAAACTTTCTAATTAATGATATGAATAGTATTAAAAACATTTGATCGCTGCAAATATTTGTAGCGGCTAATCACAGTGATAATGAAATGAATACTCCGTATTTAAAACATTTGATCGCTGCAAATGAACAATATGTCAACAATGTTGTAGAATTTAACAAAATGTTCAGCTCATATATCAAATATATAAATCTTTTAACAAAATAAATAAATATCAAATATATACATGGTCACATGGATCAGATATCTTTAAAATTTAGGATGTTATAGACGGCCCGATGTTAGACTTGGTAGGTAATCTAACCCGTATTCGATGCATTAGTAATATTTAGTATATATCAATGTCGAACAATTAGTTTGTGAACAGAAATATGTATATTATAACAAAGATATGATTATAAAGTTGTCTTGGTTGAGATGATTTCTCACTAAATCTTACAGGGTTTATGTACGTCTCAAAATGATTTATGAATATAATTTTAGGAAGATAAGCATGAACAAAAAGTATTGAAATAATACTAGCTAGAAAAGTATGAAAGTTATAGAAATATTGGGTTTGTTATAGAATGAATTTTATTAGTTCTGCAAAGAAAATAGGGACACGAGTTTTAATACTGAATTATCTTCCAAGTACTTATAAGACTCAACCCAAAACTTTTTTCTATTGCTTCAACCAAATAATTAAGGAGAAGTCATTGAGTATAATGCTGCTGATGAGAAAGACGATCGACGAAGAAACTTATTCGAAGCAAGGCGGCATGAAGGGATCTATAGCGGTTGGGTGAGGAAATAAAAGTTACTTTTCAACAGAAAAATATTTAATGTTCCCTACTGATTCGACGGCGTATGGTGAGTCACGCGTTACATATAGTGATATTTAAGATCATTTGTATGACATATGGCTAGTGACTTTCTAATTATAGAATAAAGGTAAAAGCATCACATGTTCAAGCAACAAAGGTACAAAAAGTTAAACTTGACCACATTCTCCGATTAGAGCACTGATAACTTGGTTGATTTTTATTGCAAAAGTTATCATTTTAGAGAAAACTATAAAGTTATTGCAAATTTTTTTTTTAACTGGTTAGTTAGACAAAATTTTAATTTTATATAACAAATACAGTATATTTTAAAACATCTAAATTGCTTTGGAGTAATGAGAAACTTAAGTGCTAAACAAAAATAACTTTAAAAATATCCTTAATTGAAAAAGACAACCTATAAGATATCTGATATCTCTGAGATAAATCAAAAACCACTTCTTTTCTTTTTTGATTACACTGAAGTAAACAGCATCGAATCCTGTTGTGGGGTATATGATCTATTTGATTAACAAATTTGGTAGGATCAAATTAATTGAGATTGTAATTAGAAATTCATTAGCTGTAGAATAGTATAGATTTACGTCAACATATAAGTTTTAGAGAAGACAAAAAATTATCCTGTAAGGCTTTTTTTTGTTTACTTTAAAATTATGGTTTTATGGCAAAATGAAAACGAATGATATTAGATAATAAAACTTTGAGTTTTAGTAGAATTAATTCATGATATTTTAATTAATCTATTGAAAATATGGTATTAAAATTAATAATTTAATCATATAATATAAATCAAAATAATAAAATAGATTTTTTTAAAAAAATTGGGGCTGTTAAGTAACCTATTATCTATAACTATCATAACATGATAATAAAATATGTAACTTTTCTCATATATATATATATATATATATATATGAGATGAGATTCCTTTTTATACACATTATTGAATCCTAAACCCATCATTCGGCTCCACATATCACAATACACCATCATTACTTTATCTCAATTTAATTTGCTAACAATATCTCAAACTTTGAAAGCTGGCATGCTGACGGTGGAAAAGTTGACTAATATTTATTGCATAGTATATAGATATCGTTCTAAATTTAGAAAAAGAACTAGTATTTTTTTTTTTTTTGGGTGAGATTTTATCTTTGCATAATATTTTATTTATCTATATACCTCAAATCAAAACTTCTGAATGGTAACCGTGAATTCTTGTTTCTATTTGTAGATCAAATCATACGTTTACGCTGAAACTTCATCAAATAAAAATGACATGTGATTAATTTTGCTAATGACAATGGATAAAATTCGAAGTGGTCACAAATACAAAAAACAAAAGCATTTACACATCATCCCAAACGTAAAAAATAAAAGCTTTTTTTTTTAAAAAATATTCCCACACCGAACCCGCCATCCATTTCCTGATTTCCACATCATGCGTTTGGCGCCTTGTGTGGCATTTTTCAGGCCCCACTTATACAGCTTGCCACGTGTCGACTTGATATTACTCAGAATAACACGGTACTATTGGAAGCATGCATGCATCTTTTTATAGTGTCCACACGGAATAGTTGAAATATAGAAACAATTAGGAGCTGTGTTTATGCGAAATTTTACCAAATTATTTACTAAAATATATTAATTACAGTCAAATAGGGAGTATGTATGATTTTGTGTTATTTTAATATACTAAAGAAACAAAAATATATACGTATTATATGTACTGCGTTGGAAAAATAGTATTATGTGATGAAAACATTATATATATATATATATATCGCTATCGTCGTTAATCTCAATTTCTACGTCATTATCGCTTGTGTCGAGCCGCACTTTGAGCTTATATGAACACATACTATAACTCTATAAGTCTATAATGCATATACTTAAGAAAGTCATTATCTAGTCTGAAATATCTAATTTACCCTCCTAAGCTTTATGGATTATGGTTAGTATGGTAATTAATCAGATTCGACATGATTAGTCAGACTTTGTATATGTGTCGCAGTGTCGCCACTCTTCATCTCCTTTTAGTACAAACCAAACCACGCTTAAACCGGCTGGAATTGGGGAATTATGTAGTAGTATTATTAATTGGAAATGTAGGCTAAAATTTTATAATTTTTTTAAACAAACATTACAATATTGTACAATGGATAGTAAATTTGATCGAGAATTAAAGCTACTTGTAAAATATGCAGCTTAAAAAATCTATAGAAGATGTTTTAAAGAAAAATTATGAATTCTATATAACCTAATTCATATACATAGATAACAATAATATAATTAGTGAATCGGATAAAAAGCAAATCAAGCATACCCCTATAGATTCACGAAGGCATGAGACTATGAGAGTCAAGTTTTATCTGAAATCAATGATAGGAATCTACCTAGCTAGCTACACCTATAAATTTATTAATTGGCAACTATACTTTTTTTTTTCTTTTTGATAATCATATAGTATATAGTTTAACTCTGTAAGACGTTTACAGAATCAAATGGTTAAATAAAAAAATATTACTGCATGGGTACGAGAGAAGTTCCAAAAATAAATGTATTATTATTTACGATAAAATATTTTTTTTATTGGGAAATAATTAGTAGAATGGTTACAAAAATATCGAAATATATAGATGTGGATGCGATTGCGTACGTACAAAAAGATCCCAGAAGATAAAAAACCATTCATATTTTGTCATTTTATGCGTCCATTAAAAAAAAAGGAAGAATGCTATAACGCCGACTCTCTGAAGTGTCAAAGCATTTCTCATTATTTTCTTTTTCCCCTACAAAAAACCTCTCTGATCAGAATATATTCAATCTCCGGTGATCGAAAACGATGGAGAGTACAGATTCTTCCGGTGGTCCGCCGCCACAACCTAACCTTCCTCCTGGATTCCGATTTCACCCAACAGACGAAGAACTCGTCATCCACTACCTAAAACGCAAAGCCGATTCTTCTCCTTTGCCCGTCGCGATCATCGCCGACGTCGATCTCTACAAATTCGATCCATGGGAACTTCCCGGTAAATCGAGATCATACGATCAGATCTGTATTATTTACTATTTACTTTCTGAATTTAGTTTCGTTTTGAATTTTTTTTCTCTTATTGTATTTTTTCGAACAGCGAAAGCTTTGTTCGGAGAACAAGAATGGTATTTTTTCAGCCCACGAGATCGGAAATATCCAAACGGAGCTAGACCTAACCGAGCGGCGACTTCCGGTTATTGGAAAGCGACGGGTACAGATAAACCGGTGATTTCAACCGGCGGTGGAAATAAAAAGATCGGAGTTAAAAAAGCGCTTGTGTTCTACAGTGGGAAACCACCAAAAGGAGTGAAATCGGATTGGATTATGCACGAATATCGGTTAACCGATAATAAACCCAGTCTCAGATGTGACTTCGGCAACAAGAAAAACTCCCTCCGGGTATATATTATAATATTATTATATTCAAAAATCATAATTCTATTTTTTAATTGTTTTATTTAGGGATTCATTTTATTTGATTGGCTAATTTTGATTTTTTTTTTCTTTCTTCTCTGTAGCTTGATGATTGGGTGTTGTGTCGAATCTACCAGAAAAACAATAGCACATCATCTCGAAACCATCATCATCATCATCATCATCTTCTGGATAAGGATAATCTTCATCATCATGATATGATGATCGATGATGAGCTCTTCCGTCAAATCCCTCCTTTGGTTCCCGGTAACAATGTCTCTAGGATGAATTTTTTCCCGGCGATTTTCCCCGATAACAACGATCCGGCGGCGATATACGATGGTGGTGGCGGCGGTGCCAGTTACTCGATGAGTCATAATTTCGCTTCGTCGTCTGGATCGAAGCCGGAGCAGCTACTTTCTTCTTCTTCTTCGCCGACGATGATGATGATGATGGCGGCGAATCCAAAACGGAATATTCCGATGCCGTTTTGGGAAGAGGGAAATCAAGATCCGGCCAAGAGGTTTAATGGTGGCATTGGAGATTGTTCGAACGTTGTCTCTTCAATGGCGGCGCCGCCATTAATGCAGCAGCAAAGTGGGATTTTCGGGGAAGGATTAATCAGAACATCGTACCAATCACCCGGTTTGAATTGGTACTCTTAATTTTTTCTAATCGGTTTGATGAAAAAAATTAGAATTCGAATTTAGATGATTCCGGTTACATATTTTTAAGATTTGTGTACTGTATACGGTTTAAGTTATTTTGAGGATTAGTTACAGTTGATTATTATACGGTTAGAGAAGGAGACTGAATTAAAGAGATTGGAGAGGTGAGGCAACGTATATAAATTATAACAGTAGGGTTAAATATTTGTTTTTTTTGTTCCTCTACATTTTATTATTTGTTATGTATAGTTTTATTGTACCTACATGTTTGTAGATTGTATAAACTGAAGCGCATATAAAAAGATAATATTAACAGTTGTAGAAATTAGTGTGTATTTAATTCAGGTATTTTTATACATTCGCATGCTTTCGTGCAACAGTTTTACAAACATGATTAAAAAAGTGACAACTGACACAGTTGTTTATGACCCTGATTTTTCAAGAAATTCGAATGATAATAACCACGAAGGCATGAATCAGTGACACTAACACAAAGTATAGACTCTAAGTGATGATCCGTTTTGTCAAATCTTTTATCCGTCGAAAAATTGGAATATGCAACATATCTCATCTCGTATATGAAAATATATACGTTCATAAATCTGAATAAAATTTCAAGCATTTCACCGAGTTCCACTAGAGAGTTGTTAATCGATAATTAATAACATCAATAACTATTTGAACTTCGGATATAAAATTTAGCCGCCACGCAAATCCCTCTCGGCTTGGTGACAAAGTTTTTTTTTTTCTGTTATTGATAGAACAAGTATAACCAATATTTAGATGTACTTATATACTGATTGCGACAATTTCTACACGTACGAACGGATATTGGATTATCAATTTTGTTTCCTTCTTTTAAAATACAATATAACTGTGTGGCTCTTAAAATCTCAAAATATATATAGGGTAGAGATTATCGAATAAATTTCACATTTTATAATATTCTACATGACTGGCCACCAAATCAATATGGAACAAAAGAAGGTTGGTGTTATTCTCAATTTTAGGTTTTTCTTTTTAAATTTAGGTAATTTAGAATAAAATAATCGTTTTACTCATAATTACTTAAAAGATATTGAAAACAAATAGACTTTCGAAACATCTGAAACTTGCTGGATATCGTGATAAGCATCAAACTGAGTTTGTAGATAAGAAATTCCAATAATTGATCGGAAAATATATACGATAGTATGATGTACGTGTGAATCAATATATTTAGTATAATGTAAACAGTTTTTTTTTTATATATATTAAACCAAGTTAAAAACCAAAAAAAAAAATAGGGGCCATCGGTAGGTTGATTGCGATGCATCATCGTCTATTTCTGTCTGTCTCGTAAAATAAATCTTAGTATGCAATAACTATTTCTTATTCATCATCTATATATATATTTTTATGATGTTAAAAAAGAAACTACCATTTTTATGTTATTATTCAATAAAAAGTTGTACAATAGTTTTTCTTTTCTTCTGGATCCCACTTGGAACACCATATCTAGATGGTCAAAATTTGGCTGTAAATTTATAGGAATCGAAAAATCTTGAAATTAGTTAGATTTGTTTCAACGAAATATTAGATGTTAAAAGTTTTTTTGTATATATTTAATTTGATTTTATATGTCGAAATAGATTGACTGGGCTTGTCAAGTATTTTCAATAAACAAAGGGACAATGCAAACTGATAAAATTGATTATTTTTCTAAAGAAGTTATATATATAATATCTGATAAATTCTCAGAAAAGAATTAAATATATAAATTTGTCCATGAGTTCTTAGAAAGTGGTTTCCGATTTTAGACAACAAGTTGGCAGTATTTTTTAAAGAAAAGATGATGATAGAGAGTAAAAAGAAATGGCCAACAATGGACCATTAAGCATCATTTTTCAACATCAGCAAAATATGTCATTATCTATAAACCAATATATTAAAAATGCTTTAAATTACATTCCCCATATGATGGACAAGAGGTACTAAATAACTTTTCCGAAATATGTCATTATCTATAAACCAATATATTAAAAATGCTTTAAATTACATTCCCCATATGATGGACAAGAGGTACTAAATAACTTTTCCGAGTGTTGATGCCAATAATGCCAGTAGTGATTAACTTTAGAAAATATATATTTATTTTGATTTAAACGTTGCATTTCGTTCAACCATTTTACTTTATTTAATAATAAGACCCGCATCAAATAATAAAATTATGTAAAAATGAATACGTAACTTTTGATATTTCTCCCCCTGCACGATATATTATTATTCATTTCATGCATTAACCTTTCCCTTATATAGTTGTAAAACTGAAAGATTCAGTAGAAATGTAAAACTCTTATGATATGTTTTTTTATATATAAATAAAGAGATTAAATATGCAATATCAGTAATTATAATTTTTGAGCTATAAATTTGCAATATGTGAATATTTTTCCTGATGAAATATATTTGAAGCAGAGTGCGCACATACTACCGTATAAGTATATGATATTATCCTATTATAGAGTCATTTTCATATTACTAATATAAAGACGCTATTAATTACTTTGTTTTTTCTTGAGCAAACTAATTGCAAATTTGGTTGTGGAATGGTAGATGACAAACTAAAACTATTGGTTAGTATAAATGAAACTAAAACGAAATATTGATTTGTAAAATTATCTTTATTTATGTGCGATTTTGAGAAATCGTTGAAATTTTATGGAAGAGTCATAGGAGCCAGTGTGAAACTAAAGAAAGCTAACGAATCTTTGGCAACATGGAAAGAATTTGAAAAGAAAAAAGTTTGGGAAATATTATAAAGTAATGTATTACAAATTTTAGAAAATTTTGCATCCACTACATATTATTTGAGAAGTAACATTATTGAAAATAGCTTACTTGTCAACATTACAGTTAAAGTTAGTGCTTTTAATTGATGACATATAAATGTGACATGTCAAACTTCCTAAAATAAACGAAATATTTTGATTGGTTGAACTAAAATTATAGTTATAAAATTAAAACATAAATAAACTAGATTATATTTGTAACACTAAAATTAACAAATTTAAATTAACAGAAAATAAAAGTTATTATAATTATAATTTTTTACATATATTCATAATTTCATAAAATATAATTATGAATTTTTTAACAATATATATATATATATTATAATTTCACATAAAAATAAAAAAATAATACTAAATGATCTAATAGAATAGTAAAAATTATATTTATTAATAATACTTGAAGTATGATATATTTTTATATCAGAAAGTTATTAATTTACAAAATATATTAATAACATCTAAACAAGTTCTAACTAAAAAAATTATTAAATAATACAATTTTATATAAAATAAAATCATGATAAAAATAATTTAAAGAATAAAATGTTAAAATAATAAAATAATTAAATTTATTGAAATGGTTTTAAAAAAACATAATTTTGAATAATTTTATTTTCAAACCGATATTTACTAATTGAATAAAGTATAGACTAATTATTATTTTATAATATTAATAAGACCATATATTTTTCTATAACTTTTATCATCTTTTTATTGTTGTTTTCTAAAATGTATATAACTTATGTTACCATCTCATCTTATCTCTTATCATATTTTAAATAAAAATAATGGCATATGCATATATATATATTTATTTTTATTGTATATGAAAATTTTGAGATAGTAAATGAAATAAAAAATAACCGAACGAAAAAATAAATTATAATAAGATGAAACAATTTGAATCATAAATAAAAAAATAAAAGTATATAAAAATAAATCTCTCGTACTTTATTTTACAAAGTCACTTAAAAACTTTTTAAGACGTAAGAACCATATTTTATTTTTTTACAAATACGCGTACATACATATATATTAATTGTACATTAGTTGAAGTCACATGCAAACTTTTCCGTGCATGTGTTTTGTTAAGATTGATTACAGTCTAATTTTTATTTTAATTATTATACAATTTATATTTTTAATTTTTTTTATCTATTCTAAGTGTAGTGAAGTGGTTGGTATACTCGCACATGCGTGCCAATTATCTATCCGCTCTTAGGAATAAGTAAAAATGGTAAAAACTATTTCTGTTTAATTTGCAATAAATCAAGAAAAATATATACTTAAATATATTATATGTATTTGCAAATTCATATTATGTAAGACGCAAAAAAGCATATCGTAGATTGTGTAAGGAGAAATAAATCATATTATAGAAATATTTAAAAAAATATTATAAGAATTTTTAATTATTATTTAACATAACTTTTATATTTGTGATTATATATTATTACAAGCATTATAAATATAAAAAGTTTTAAAATACATTGATTTCAGAAAGAAGTTTGTGAAATATTAAAACAATATATATACAAACATACTAATATTAAAAAAAACTAATCAAAATTTAATATTACAATTAATTATATATATCAAAAAAATTATACCCGCACATATGTGCGGGCCAACCACCTAGTATACTTTAGAAAACTAGTGACTCGGGTTGTCACAAAACCTATAATTATTCGATTAAAAGTTATTCAAGCAGTTGATTAATAGAATGGACTGATGGTGGCATATAATGGTTACTGGTCTCGAACAAAGTTTATTTGTAGAAAACATTAAGGTATTTAATTTTCAAAAAAAGATGGATGATTTTTACAATGAATAAAAATAGGAGTAATGTTTTTATAGCTCTATATATGTAAATGTGATTATCACAATAAAATACACTAATTTAAAAGCAAATATAAAGAAAGGCCTGATTGATGGTGATGATGAAATTTAATCGTGAGGTGTTAATGAAAGATCGTTGACTGAAGTAGGATAAATGTGAACTTCAGTTTTCTTAATACTTTGAATGTCTGAGATCAACGTGAGTGAACGAATTGGTCAAGATTATATATCTTACCTTGATTGTTGGTAAAACAATGAGACATTAATTTTTGTTCAATTTATAGTTTTTCGATGAATTTGGACGTTTTTAGTTTCTGTCAGTGG